AGGCAATAATTATAATTCAAAAGTCTCAGAGTTTGTTGCATAAATTCAGATCCAGAAAGCACACTCAGGTAACTGATTCAGCTGGATTCATTAACTTCTTTATATACATAATAATACATGAATCAATGTACAATACCAACAGGTGGTTCTTCCAAGTAAACACAAGACAGGAGAGTTACAGGCAAACCCAAGCAGTTAGTTTCATTTCAGCAGACAGGCCCAGAGTGACTGCTAGTATACTTCTCAGAGAGCACAGTCTACTTGTTTCTAGTCTTGTATCTTAACCACTACTGGCTCTCTATGGTGTTGAATGATAGTTTCAGGGAGCTGACATGATACTAACTCTCGTTCAATTGATTTTTTATTTGGCTGAGGAAAGACATTTTTCACAATTACAAACACCACTTTCTTTATTTACAGTAGAATAGTTGCATTTTATTTATTTCTTTACACATTTTTGACCCACCCATCTCCCTCAGATAGGGATTCTAAGCAATGTATATTCAAATGTTAGTATACAAAAATGCAGTGATGTGCGGTGAGCTTTATGGCTGGTGAGGCAAAAAGAAAGAAAGAGGCTTTTGCCCACTTTCTTGAAAGCGGCTTTTGGCCGCCCCGGCGCTATGTCCAACATAGAAGCGGGATGGTAAAAGACCCGCCTCTGCTGGCGGGCTGCCCCAACACAGAGAAAGAAAGCTGGCGAGCTGCCCCTCTCTTCGCAAACAAGCCGCTTTCTAGAAAGAAAGCAAGTGCCAGCCCGCCAGCAGAGGTGGGTAAAAGACCCGCCTCTGCTGGCAGGCTTTCCCGACATAGAGAAAGAAAGCTGGCGGGCTGCTCTCCCTGCCTCTCCTACCCCCTTCCCTCTGAGTGAAGAAATAAACACACGCACACATGCACACACACACAAATTACTTACAATTACATTAATTTTGAATTCCTCCCCCTCCCTCTGACCCACATACCTTTTCCAGCTGTTTCACAATCACAGAGGATTTCAACGCTGCTCTTGCCTGCCATCATGAAAATGTAAAAATATAAAAAGAAAAAGGCAAGAGCTGCTGAGGTCAGACTGGGTTAGCTGCTGCTAGAGTCTCCAATGGATGACTCTGCTTAATTGTTTAAAAAAGCCTCTAAAAAAATGTCCTCTACAGGAGGAGGCAAGAGAACCCTGTGCCTCATCTACATAAGGAATTTTTCGGCTTTTAACCCTTGCTTAACTCTGCTCGAGTGATCATAAAGTCAGACTAGATGAGGCACATGGTTCTTCTGCCTCCTCCTGTAGAGGGCACTTTTTTAGAGGCTTTTTTAAACAGTTAAGCAATAAGCAGAGTCATCCACTGTGTCTCTGGCAGCAACTACCTCAGCCTTTTTCCTTTTACATTTTTTTTCTTTTCATGATGACAGTGGTGAGGCTCTGCCTCCCCTGTCTCCCCTGACTGCACATCACTGCAAAAATGGCATATAGAAATTTAAAAAATATATAAAATTTAAATTTAGGAGGCAAGGATGATTAACCCGTTAAAAATTAATTAAAAAGGTAAAGGGAGGGCTCTCAGAGCACCAACCAGCCCCCACCACCACCTCAGCTCCCTGATCCTATGGGCTCACAAGGCCATGTTTTAACACCTTTTCAGAAGGAGTGAATAATAACTGTATATTGATGAATAATAACTGTATACTGAAAGAGCCAAGGTGGCGCAGTGGTTAAATGCAGCACTGCAGGCTACTTCAGCTGACTGCAGTTCAGCAGTTCGGCTGTTCAAATCCCACCAGGCTCAAGGTTGACTCAGCCTTCCATCCTTCCGAGGTGGGTAAAATGAGGACCCGGATTGTTGTTGGGGGCAATATGCTGACTCTGTAAACCGCTTAGAGAGGGCTGAAAGCCCTATGAAGCGGTATATAAGTCTAACTTGCTACTTGCTATTCTTTCTGTGCCAATTCAGGAAGCTCAAACTGCCCAAGGAGCCGCTGATACAGTTCTACAGAGGAATTATTGAGTCTGTCATCTGTACCTCTATAACTGTCTGGTTTGGTTCTGCAACCCAACAAGACAGAAACAGACTTCAGAGGATAATTAGAACTGCAGAAAAAACAATTATTGCCAAACTGCCTTCACTGAGGACCTGTATACTGCACGAGTCAAGAAGAGGGCCGTGAAAATATCTACAGACCCCTCGCATCCTGGACATACATTTTTTCAACTACTACCCTCAAAATGATGCTGTAGAGCACTGCACACCAAGACAACTAGACACAAGAACAGTTTTTTCCCCAAATGCTAAACAAATAATTAAGGCTACATTACTATTACTATTAGTCTTCTCATCATTCCTATCACCCATCTCCTACCACTTATGACTGCAGGACTGTAACTTTGTTGCTTGCATCCTTACTATTTATAGTGATATTGATTGTTTCTTGATTGCTTATTTGTACCCTATGACTATCAGTAAGTGTTGTACCTTATGATTCTGGATGAAAGTGTCTTGTCTTTTTATGTACACTGAGAACATATGCATCACAGACAAATTCCTTGTGTGCCCAATCACCGTTGGCCAATAAAGAATTCTATTCTATTTTATTCTATCGATATTCATTAAATATGTATGCTACTGGGTCTATTAAACTTATGGCTGTCATACAGTCCAAAATACAATACTGTAACCATTGAGCCTAATAATAAATTGTAATAAATGTTTGATAAGCAACAATGAAATAACAATGAATTAAACAGTAGTCAACACTAATTAATTTGTTTAAAGCCAATTATTAATGTCTTCCTTAAGCCCCGGGACTATTCCACTGTGGCTTGAGAAGCAGAATGTGTGGAAGGCAGAGGAGAGCAATAAATAAATGTTAGAAGAAAAAGTGTGCTGACAGGCCCAGCATATTGTATAAACCATGTCCTTTTTCTGGATCCTGACATCTTGATAGGTGTACTGTGTCCTGCCCATAAGCCATTCCTTTTCCATCATAAAAAAGCTTCATCCTGGCATCCCTCCTTTGCTCACTCTGTTTCTTCAAGAAGAGATGTCATAAAACAACTATCTAGATATTTGATTTCCTAGCTTTTCTAATATTGCTTGTCTGTTTTATAGAGATTTGCCAAAATGCTACTCTGTCATTTGTGATAGCATAATAGGCGTTAAAATCATTTGTGTGTCATCCCGTTGATTCTACACAGACAGATTCAATCCTTTACCTAAACTGATGCCATGAATAATGTTCTCTCTGTTTGAGACTTTTTCTTGTTGCTATTGGTTTCCCAAACTATTTACAAGGTAGTTCCTGAGATACCTGGTGGTGAGATGTGCTTAGAAGGAGACATAAACAATTCTGATATTTTCAACTTCTGAAAGATTCTAGAAACTGTTTCAGAAGCAGCTTGATACCATGAACAAAAAGAACATAATAAAACTGCATGAAGATTAGAACTGCACTGTACTGACAACATTCTTTCTCTGTTTCTTTCCTTCCTTCCTTCCTTCTTTCCTTCCTTCCTTCTTTCATTCCCTCTTTAATTCCTTCCTTCCTTCTTTTTTTTCTTTCTTTCTTCTTTCCTTCTTTTCTTTTTTCTTTCTTTTCTTCCTCCATCTCTTCCTTTCTTCTTCTGACCTAGGCTTCCCAAGAGCATGAAGCAAACTCCTTGTCCCAACAAAAACCTCTTTTATTAATCTACTGTGAATTCTGCTCATTCATATCCAGCAAAGTCTTTCAAGGGCGGATTTACAATCACAGACCTTATCTGGCTTGGAGAGCTACCAGGCCGATATCTGCAAAACCAATTAAACAAACTAATTGTCTCCCAAAAACTCCACTCCCCTTTTCCTTCTCTTTTATTTTTTCTGGGAGGGGCCATTCATCATCCACCTGTGGCTTTACTCCCAAGTCGATCCCTCTTCTTTAACTGTTCCCTTCGTCTGGCAACCCTGCACATGTGCACAATGGGAACATGGTCCAGCTGTTCGTCTGCCTCACTCATATCTGACTCTGAAGGCAGCTGATAACTGGCATATGGCTTTGCCCCCCCCCCCTCTGCCTCCAACACATAACCCTCATCTGAGCCTTCCCCAGGCTCCAGGATTGGTCCATGTTCTTCCCCAACCTTCGCACTGTCTGAATCTGCTGCCAGCTCTGCTGGCTGCTGGTGGACTACAACACTTCTCTCTCTCTCTCTCTCTCTCTCTCTCTCTCTCTCTCTCTCTCTCTCTCTCTCTCTCTCCCCCTCTCCCTCTCCCTCTCGCTCTCCCTCTCCCTCTCTCTCCCTCCCTCCCTCCCTCCCTCTCTTCCTCCTTTTCTTTTTTTCAGAACCCATGATTCAAGAAATATTGCTTTATGTTACGAAAATTAATCTTTGTTCGGAAAGATAGCAATGGATGCATATGTAATCATTTATTTATAAATATACAGATAAAGCCAGCACTGCGGGACTTCGCTGCTTGATGATTTCAAACATCAATCCCTCTTTAGCTTGCATTCTCCATTATCTTCTGTTCTATATCTCATTTCTTATTTAGGAACACTTTTTATCTTAAAATACGAGAGAGCAGGATTACACAGGGAAGCAAAGAGGGTTTGGCATCTCAGCCTGTCGAAGCAGGCTCTACGAGGGAAGCCTGGTGTTAGCACTTCCTTATCAGCCTTGCAACTTTTTATTTCCACATGGCTGTTTCTTTTCAGAGAGTGTGAAGAGATAATATGCTGAAGCTTGAAACAAGAAGTTTGCTTAGATGGAAAAAATTTTGTATAATAAACAATAAAAAAGAAAGAAAACCTTCCAGAGATCTAGGAGGGAATAAAGATTTCTTAGCAGCATATAGTATAGAGTAGACAATTTCTAACAAAAATAATTGTCAGACAGCAGACAAGCGTGAGGAGAAATGAAAAGAACTGCCTAGCAAAGCAGGAACATTTCAACAATGAATCTTGCCATCTTAGACAAGGCAATATGGTGTTGGCCATATTGTTCCTGCAGCTAATTCTTGATGTTCCATCAACAGGAACATCAAGACCACAATTCTTTCCTTCTCTGTGTCCCAGTGTCAAATCTACTTGCCACTTTCTATGGTTCCCTGGAGCAATGTTCTGTCAAAACATTGAGGAAATCGACCACCAGAGAAGCTCTCAGACAGAAGCTCTCAGACAGGTCACTCAGCTCCCCTCAGACCAGAGGTGGGTTCCTACCGGTTTGGACTGGTTCGGCCAAATCGGTAGTGATTTGGCGGCCTGGGTTGCTGGAACCAGGCCTGCCATGCCCCCGAACCGATTGTCCTATGGGGCCGCCATATTGATTTTTGGTTCTGCACATATGCAGAACAGTTGTAATTGCACAAATGTAATTATTTTCCTTTTTTTTAACATTTTGCACATGCGCAGACCTATTTTTGTGCAAATGTGCATGCATGCACATTTTTGCGCACACCGAACCAAGAGCAACCCACCCCTGCCTCAGACCTAGAACCAATCCTTCTGGACATTAAAAAACACACATGCATGCTTCCAAGTCAATCCATTGTACAAATTTTAGAAAAATGTTGAGAGGATGCTGGTGTAATATTAATCTTTTTCAAGCCCAAAATGATCAAATCCAAAGACCCTGATTTGGGTTTTTTAGATAAATGATTATAGTTCTTAATAGTTGTACACACTATTGGAAGAAATTTCCCCGGTTCGTTCCCAGCTAGGACACACCACAGAAAAAATGGATGCAGAAGCCAGCTGCCATTCAGTAATGAATTTAAGATCTTATGTGAACATAGCCAATGCTTTTCCTATCCTGGACTAATTGAAATATTGGCTTTATTCTCACATCTGCTCTTATGAGGTGGGTCATATGGGAGAGAAGACAAAGCAGATTCAAAGTCCTGAAGTCTGTCCAGTATTCTATTCCAAACTAGTCAATTAGATGCATCTGGGACACTCATAAACAGTACATGAATGTATTATTGCTCTCATTTGAATTTACCAGCAGCTGTATTCCCACATTTATCTTGATTCCTGAATTAACATATTTTCTAACTTTGTTCAGGGCATTGACCTCTGGACTAACCTATGCAAGCTAGCACAACTAAGTATTTAATTAAAATGTCTCAGGAAGGTGTGTGAAAACTTCAGTTTAGTGAAAGCACCAGATTTGAACCTGGGAATAGCATGAAAAACTGCAGCGATTCACTTCACAACTGTAACAGTAAAAGACATAAAATGGGGCAAAATAACTTAACAACTATCTTACTTAGCAAGATTACATCTTGGGCTCAGTTGTGGTCCTTAAGTCGAGGACTAGTAAATTAGACTTGTAAAATGTTCCCACAACTCCCTTTATTATTCAATTTTACTTTGAGCATTTTTTTTTCTTAATGAAGAAAAAGAACATTTGCGTTTCACACACAATTCAGCCTCCAGGATCAAGAGCCATTTATTCCTACAGGTGTTAGATGAACACAATAAAGATCTATTATTTTAATTCACTACAAGATAATGCTCTCCTGAGAAATAAATGATTCAAATAGCAGAAAATATTTCGAATACCAATCAAGAAAATGAGAAAGTTGCTTGAGAGAAGAAGAAAAAAGCAATCCTCTGGTGGCAGGCATACTCCAAAATCTATCTGTCTGTCTGTCTGTCTGTCTGTCTGTCTATCCTTCCTTCCTTCTTCCTTCCTTCCTTCCTTCCTCCTTCCTCTCCCCCAAGGCCCATTTTCAGTCTAAATTGTGATTTGCCTTTTTTTAAAATATAGGAGGTATCCCTTAAACCACCTAATTTGGATCTCATGCATGGATAGGATTATTTTGACTACTTAAAGAGTGGTGTAGGGAGAACTGAGATCCATTATTTAAAGCCTCCTCCATTTAAAAACACTTTCATGTGTTCTGGGTAAAGCATATCATTTACTCAGCCAGGAGCAGATTACTCCTAAAGAGAGAATATCCAACTGGCCCATAGTATTGCATCCTGAACTAGAATACCATCAGAATAACAAAAGTTTCTATACAATAATATGTCATATTATTTGATAGGTCTCATAATAGATGAACATCTGCCCATGGAACAAGCCAACTTCCAACAAAACTGGAGCTGTGTTGATCAGGTGCTAAGCCTAACAGGCTATAATAAAACAGTTTTCCAACAAGACCTATAAACTATGGCTGTGTTCATGGACTTAACTTTGGTACACAACATAATTTGGAAGGATGTGTTGTTATATAAACTGGGCTATATTAGCCCCTGCAAAAATCTTTGTTGATTAATTAACAACATGCTGAGCGATAGATTCAGATTATAATAGCAGACAACATAAGTAAGGTAAGAAGATTAAACAACAGCTTCCCACAAGGCTCTGTAAGGGTACTTACACTATTCAACTTATACTTATCAGATATGCCAGCAACAAGAGGGTATAAATTTGGATATGCTGATGATCTGGCCATAGCAGTACAAGAAAAACACATGGAGGGGGCAGTCAGCCTCTTCTCCCAAAATCTTAAGATCTTGGGAAAATTCTTCACTGTCTGGAGGCTCACTCCTAGTGATAGCAAAATGGTAACTATGTGCTTTCAACAAACTAGCATAACCCCCATCCATAGTACCTTGGAGTAACATTGCACCTGACTCCCTCTTGAAAGATACATTTACAGAATATGGTGGCAAAAATGAGTATTAGGAACAAGATACTCGAGAAATTGTGCAGACCTGAATGGGGAGCTTCAGGTCAAGAGCCATGGTGGCGCAGTGGTTAGAATGCAGCACTGCAGGCTACTTCTGCTGACTGCCAGCAATTCGGCAGTTCGAATCTCACCAGGCTCAAAGTTGGCACAGCCTTTCATCCTTCCGAGAATGGTAAAATGAGGACCCAGATTGTTGGGGGCAATATGCTGACTCTTGTAAACTGCTTAGAGAGGGCTATAAAGCACTGTGAAGCGGTATATAAGTCTAAGTGCTATTGGTATTGCTATCCGCACTGCTGATCTACTCCGCAGCAGGAATCTGTGCCCCTGCATGGTGGCCATTCTAGTGAGACTCAATGACACCATGAGGATTATAAAGTAGATGTATTAAAACCATTCCAATTTGCTGGCTTCCTGTTCTGAGTCATATAGTACCGTCATCTTTACAAAGGCAAGATGTACTCACGAGAGAATATAGAAAAACTATGAACAACTAACTCCTACTAGTGCATGCTGACTTCATTTATCCACCAGAAGGCTCAAATCCAGGAAGCCTCCATGGCACTTGCACAACATCTGCTTAACAACTTTAACATTGATTCCTAATGGAAAGCCAATTTGGTTGTTCAACATCCAAACAAAGGAACATACAATATGTCCACACTTTGAAGTACCCCACCAGCAATGGACATTCAATAGAATTCACACCTCAGTTGGCATCTGCCAGGACTCTTTGTACAAATGGGGCACAGTGTCGTCTCCTCCTATGGGATCCATGTCACTCTATAGATCACATTGTGACCATCTGAAAGCTAAGGGCATTTACTGCATCTGAAATAAATGTGCTTCAATGAATAGATGGCGTAGACATTGATAATTGAATATATATCTTTTTAATATTTATATTTTAGTTTTTTTAATTTAGATAAAATATTAATATATATATTGCAAGTCCATGTATAATATGCCATACGCTAAGTTAAAAAATTCTCTGCAAGAAATCAGCCTGCTATTCTCCAAGTCCATCACCAAAAACGTTATAAATCTTTTACCATACATAATCAAAGCCAATTATCTCTCAGGCATCTAAAATCTTCTAGGACCATGATGGCAAACCTATGGCATGCATGCCACAGGTGTCATGTGGAGCCATTTGTTAGGGCACGCGAGGTGTTGCCGTCAGGTCCAACGCTGGCCAGCTGACTTCGGTCTTCTTTTGAGGCCGTTTTTTGCCCTCCGGAGGCTTCCTTGGCTATTAAATCTGAATGTAGGTAAAATTTATCCACACTGTCCACATTTATTAAGTCAAACAATGAGGTTTATCCATTGTTTGGAGACCCATTCCAGTTTTTGTCTGTTTCAGCCAAAGTCCACTGTGTGTTTGTGTAAAATTGAGACTCTATAGTGTAGATTTCCTTAGAGTTAACTGCTTATTCACCTGGTAGACTTTGGTTAGTGACTATCTCGGGCAATGACTGTTCACTTACGTGATGAAAAAATAACTTTCCATTTTTCAGTTGCAGTCCTAGTACAGAGACATGAATTTCATGATTTTTTTTAAAAAAGGAGAAAAATACATCATCAGGCTGCAGTTTGATGACTTGCATCATTCGCAGGTATAGGGCAAATTTAATATAAATGGAGACACAATATATTTGAGCTAAGATGATCATTTAATGCAGACTTTACAACAGAACATAGAATCATAGAGCTGGAGGGTGATGGGCAGGATCATGGCACACACTTGAAAATAAATCAGGACTGCAATTGTGGGGGGCTGTCTGGAAAGAACAAAGAATGCTTATGCATGTGTAAAGCTTGTAGTAATTATGGGTAGTTAGACAACTTGCAGACCTCAGCTAAAAGTTAGGAAAGGCCTGCAGCAAATGAAATATGTATTAGATAATTCCTGGGGCATTCATTAGCCAACACATAGGAATAGGGACAGCTAGAGACCAATAGAACAAATTGTAGGTTAGATGATATTTCTTGTTATCTCACCTTGTCCCGCCTTCTCCTTTAGTGAAAATGTATAAAGTTTACGTAATCCTTTGTTCTTGGCCTTTTGACCAGGAACCCCCTTCCTTGGAGTACTCCAATAAAAAGCAATCAGAAAACCTGCACCTGGTGTCTGGTGTCCATCATTGGCTTCGCCACCAGGCTCAGACCCGAATTGGGGACAACAAAGGGACCTTGGAGGGTTCTTGAATCCCGGACTCCTGCTCAGAGGAAATTAGGAGAGCAAATACCATTCCAGTCGAATGGTTGTCCAATGAATTTTTGAAAACCTATAGTAATGGAGCATCCACAGGGAGGAAAGCTACAAGTAGTCCTTGAATTAAAAAAAGTAACTTAAGCACATTTTCACACTTGGAACCATTGCAACATCCCCATGGTCAACACCAGGGGTGTCCAAACTTGGGAACTTTAAGACTTGTGGACTTCAACTCCCAGAATTCCCCAGCCAACCATGCTGGCTAGGGAATTCTGGGAGTTGAAGATAACAAGTCTTAAAAGTTCCCAAGTTTGGACATTCCTGGTCAACGCAATCAAAATTCAGACGCTTAGCAACTGACTCATATTTATGGCGGTTGCAATGTCCAGGGATCATGTGATCGCTTTTTGCAACCTTTTGACAAGCAAAATCAGGGAGGAAGCCAGATTCACTCAGCAACCATGTTACTAACTTACCAACAGTGATTGACGTAACAATTCTGGCAAGGAAGGTAGGGCAAAACTCACTTAACAAATGTCTCGCTTAGCATAAATTTTGGCCTCAATTGTGGTCCTAATTTGAGGGCTATTTGTATTCTATTGATTAGCTGTTCTCACTGTCAGAAAATTTCTTACTTCTAGGTCGGATCTCTTTTTAACTAGCTTCCACCTGTTATTTCTTGTCTTGTCCGCTGGTGCCTTGGCAAATAAGCCAATCCCCTCCTCATTGTATCAGCCCCTCAAGAACTGGAGGACAATTATCATGTTCCCCCAAATCCTTCTCTTCAAAAGGCTGGACATATCTAGCTCCCTCAACCGTTTTTTATGCTTCTGTATCAGAGGTGGTATTCAGCAGGTTCTGACCAATTCTGGAGAACCGGTAGCGGAAATTTTTAGTTCAGAGAACAGTAAATGCCACCTCTGACTGGCCCTGCCCCCATCTATTCTCTGCCTCCCGACTCCCAGCTGATGGGGAGGGAATGGGGATTTTGCAGTAACCTTGCCCTGGAGTGGGAATGGAATGAAGATTTTACAGTATCCTTTCCTGCCATGCCCACCAAGCCATGCCATGCCATGCCACACCCACCAACCCACACCCACAGAACCGGTAGTAAAAAAATTTGAATCCCACCACAGTTCTGTACTATCGCCCAATAATCCCAAAGAGTGGATACTCTAATCCAGAGCCACCTTCAAAAATACTCTCACCATCCACATTCAAAAGGGATTGCAAGCAATTTTTCTATAACTTTAGTTCTCGGGATGAAGCAAAGGTTAGCAGAAAAAAATATACTAACCTTTCATTATCCATAAATACCACTTCGTTCAAAGAGAATTCTCTATATGGGATTTTTTTTTGTCCTGTCAAGTCTTACATTCCCTGCATTTTTCTTTACATCGTTTTGAAAATGGTCGCTTCTGAATTTGGAAAATACCCTTACCTGGTTTACTATGTTTCTGAAAGTCTGTGATTATGGGTCCATTTAGGGGAGAAAAGGATACCTTGAAGAATTACTCCCTTTTTCATTTAAAAAATATAGGAATCAAGATTCCCTAATCTTTGGTAATCACGACATTTTTAAAGAATCAATACTTTAAGAAATATTGTCTTCCTTTGTGTTTAAAGGTTGGGACATATTTATTCAAAAGTTACGCCATTATTTTCAAAACAATTTAATTACATCAGTTTTCTTTTAAACTTCAATAGTGTGCCTCGGACTAAACCATCTCAAATTGTCAACACTTAAACAGAATACTTTAAAAACTTTTAATGTGTCGGCATTTTCAATATTTAAAAATCTCTTCATTACATTATCCTTTATCAAGACAAGTTAGGCTTATATACAATGTAAAACAGGGAAACATTAAAGAATACATGTCATGCCCCCGTCACAGCCTGAATCTGAGGAGCAGACATTGAGGGGGCAGCTTTATTGTCGTCAGAGAAATGTGGGGAGGAGCAGGCTCTCACCTCAGGATTGGGATGACTTGTTAGCAGGGAGGAACGGGGGCAGGAAGGTGGGCAAGCACTGAACATGAGGAGCAACGAAGCTCAGGCGATGAGCAAGGACTGCCCCCTCCTGATCCCCGAGCACAGAGAGTGGAGAGAAGGCGGGAACAGCACATGCCAACCCAACAACTCGGGAGGAGAGCACCCCGCCCTCTTCACAAGGGACACCTAGGGACTGAGATTTAAGGACACAGTAGGGAGGGGCATTTGTCGGGAACAAATGCTGGTAAGAGTTCCATGTGCCAGTAGAGATATTTGGAGTTTGCAGGTCTTCTTCCTCACTTCATGGACTCAGTGCCTTGTTCCTTACTTTGTGGACTCAATTGTTCCTTATTTCGTGGACTCATTTCCCTGTTCCTTTGCTTTGCAGGATTGGGCGCAGCCAGAAGCTGCCATGTGTGTGCGTGCACTTTGCTCTGGGACTTGTCAAGCATTTGGGGGGACATTTGGAGCATTAATGGGGAGTTTGAACTCTCAGCTGGCTATGTGACCTTCGTTCCTTGTCCCGGGTCATCACAATACACAGCAGGAATATTGATAACAAGACACACTCATTACCTATTAAAATAAGGACTTCCTATTTTCTTCAAACATATGTCTACATATTGTATATTGGACATGATTTATACATGACTCAAATATCAGCTCCAATCCAGTTTTTGTCTTCCTTTAAAGTATTATTATCCCTTCCAGTGTTCAATAAACAAAACATGTTTATTATTTTCAGCAGGAGTTCTTCCACAAAAAGAATTCTGTAGATTGTGATGCTTCATTAACTTTTCAGGATCCAATATATTTGCATCTGCAGTATTATTTTCATTCTTTACTTTTAGTGAAGTCGTAGAATTTCCACTTCTGAGCAAAATGCAACACTTTCTTCCTCTGGTCTTCAAAATTTTCTCGTAGTCCTTTCCTCCAAAGCCGTGGTTCCAAATCTAGCATGCCACCAATTATTTCCTTTCAAAATAGGAAAGAATATTATTTTTCTTAAAATAACCAGAAAAACCCACACCTGTTTGAACAAGAAGAGTGTCAAGCAGGAGAAAAAAAACAATTCTAGCTTTGCATGCTAAGAAGAGATGAGTCATCTAACTGGCTACCACATTAAAATGTTTTATGCATGCTAGACCTCTCAAAGGCCACGGGAGGCTGGGGGTGGAATATTATTCCATAAATTCTTGATGCTTGTAGGAACAGAATATATCATATATCATATATCTATCTATATCTATCTATATCTATCTATATCTATCTATCTATCTATCTATCTATCTATCTATCTATCTATCTAT